GGCCGGCCAGCAGCAACACTGCGGACCGCGCAGTGGACCCTTTCTGGCCTCCTGCTCTTCACCGCACTGGGTGACATTTCCCTCGTGCTTTCTGCACACGCCACATGTGCTCATTGCTACCCCCCCTCAGGAACATGTCTGAGTCTCCTGGAACCCGAACTGCGAAGCGTCCACCGCTCAGGCTCCTTGGCCCCCGGCCCTCTTGGACGCTCCCCTGCTGAAACTGGGGTGAACACCCCCCACAGGCAACACGACAGGCAACACTCTGCTGCAGAGACCCACAGCGCAACCGGCACGCAAAGACAGGGGCCACTGTCGTCTTCTGCGTGCAAGAGACAAAGAGAAAGCAGAGTAGTCCCGCACGGAAGCTGCAATGTGGCGGGCAGATGGACAGCGAGACCCCACACACGGGACACGAGCCCGCCCGGGCCCAGGACATGCCAAGGCGGCGCCAAGGCAGGACGCGAGGGGAGTGGGGACATTCGTGGGGCCACGCAGGCCTTCACCCCGGTGGGCGGGAGAGCTACAGCCGGACACCGGCACAGATGGGTTCAAAGGAAGCTGGCAGACACTGTCCCAGCAGACAGCAGGCCAGGACAGGCCCAAAAGCCAAACTGGACTGGACCGGGCCACACACTGAGTGATGCCCCAGAACCTGCCCACGCAGTCGAGTGGACAGGACACCCCAGAACCCGCCCACACAGTCAAGTGGACAGGACACCCCAGAACCCGCCTGCCCCCGAATGGACAGCAGCTCTGCGCACCATGCAGAAAGGATGAGTTTTCATGACTCAGCCGGGCAGCTGATTCGCAGCGTGAAGTTAACCCCAGCCTCACGCGTGTCCTTTAAGTCAGCTCCACGTGGGCCACGGGGTGAGTCCCAGGAGCAGAGCAGACCTGCTGCCAGCACGCGGACGGGAGCACGGGGCCGGGGCAGGTCGAGGTGCGGGCAGGGACTGGACACGACCACCCTGGCTGGAAAGGAAGGGCCGAGTACCCAGAGATGGTGCGGCTCAGGCGCAGCTCCCGGCATGGGGGAGGGGACTGGGGCACGTGCTGGGAGCACAAAGGCCCCAGGACGATAGACGTCCCCGTGGGAAACCGGCAAGCACAGGAGGGCAGGCAGATGGACAGATGGGCGGCCAGAGCCACGGTACAGGCTCTGGTAACGTGATCCTCCTGCTCCAGCCCAGGGCCCACCTCTGCTGCCAACCCGCCCACCCCGGGAGAGGCCGCCTCCTCCAGGCAGGCTCCCAACCAGCTGCCCGGTTCAGCTCAAAGACCAGACCTAGATCCCCTCTGGCCCGTCCTACCCTGCTGCAGGAAGCCAAGGCCACGTGGGTGCGGAGCATGGCCTGACACGGGCCCTAGGGGCGAGGACCCCCCACGCAGGCTTTCAGCGTCATGTGCTGAGCGGGAAGCGGGTCCCAGCCCTGGGCTGAGGCCGGGCAGGACAGAGCCGCGAGCTGGGCTCACACAGATGCTGCCTCCTCGCAGGCAGCCACTGCCCCGACACTGGGCCGCTCAGCACCCACCCACCCCCGCCCACCCTGCGGCTCTGCCCCGTCAATGAGGCCTGATGACTCTCCTGCTAGGGTGCTCTGTGTCAGATACACACCGGGAGTTCGTTCCTCGTTTCAATATCATTAATCATCCAGCATTCATCCTCGCCAGCTCAGACGTTTGCATTTCTACAATGGGGCTTTGAAAACAAGGACAGAAAATGCAAATACTCCACCAACTGTAAGAGAATGCTCAGAATTGCCCAAACAGACCATCAATGCACCGTCTGACGCGGATCCTCTCTGCTCTTCAGGAGCTGTGAGCATTTGTGATTTTGCAAAGACAAAACACAATTTGAGGATTTGGGGGAAAAAAAGGCTGAAAGAGAAGCTGCTCTGTCTGTGCGAGGCCCAGACAAACGGCGTCTGATTGCGCTGGGCACTGCCGGCGGAGGCCGGGGGAGGGTGGGCCCAGCTCAGGGTCTCAGCTCCCTCTCCTGCAGACCCCCGGTGCATCAGCGGCCGCGATGCTTCTCCCCTGCTCCCCGCGAGCCAGCAACTCCCACTGGGTGCTCCAGCCCACCCAGCCCGGGGCGGGGGGGGGGGCGGCTCAGGATGGGACGTGCTCGGAGACAGCCTACAGTCGGGACACTGGGTGCCCTTGGGCACAGCACCACAGCGTGGACACCCTGCGGAAGCCCCCCAGGACCTTGGTCTGAGCCACTCAGAAGGTCCCACAGCTCCCCAGGAAGGCCCATGTAAGTGGGACAGACGGACATGGGGGTGCGGCCTACGGCGGCAGGCAGGGCTGGAACCGAGTGACTCTGCCCATTCCCACGGGTCCACGCGCCCCCACACACCCCAGCCAGGCAGGCCTGAGCCCCGACACTGCACCGAGGCCCTCCTGGGCAGGCCTAAATCCCCCACACCCCCAAGGGTCCATCCACAAGGCCGGTGCCCCCACAGCCCCCCGGCGCCTCCAGGCAGGCCCAAGCCCCCACCCCGGACAGTGGGGTCCAAGCGGGCGGGAGCCCCACAACCTCTTCGTATTTCTTACTCTCAAAGGCGGATTCTTCCAGGCTCCCGGGCCAGGCCTCCCCCGGCCGTTTCCATCATCAACAGTTTCTCCAGAGCAATAAACGCCCAACAGTTAAGGCTCTGACGTCAGAGGCAGGGCCTGGCAGGGCAGCTCAGCCATAAATGCAGAGCGCAGGCCACGCCCTGCACCGAGGCCAGCACAGGGCGCTTCAGGGAGTGGCCGTGTGGCTGCCAAGGCACAGCCGGCCTCGCTGTGGGCGACAGGGGTCCCGGGAGCAGGGCCCAGGGTGGGGGGGGGACGCTGCTTGGAGGATCTCCCGTCACACAGTTGAGTGAAGTGACTCCCTCTCCGCAGAGGGCAGGGATGGGGCCCTCGAGTCCTCTCCGGAGGACAGCACCTGGCCCGGACCCTGGGCAGGAAGGGTGGAGCCGCCGGGTGGGGCAGCAGTGCGGAACGCAGCCCCCAGACAGCAGGCGGGGGTCCTGGGAACGGACCGTGCAGGGGCGGGGCGGCGGGGCCCCAGGGAGTGACACTCTCGGTCACGCTCAGCCACGGGAGCAAACCACCGACCACCACACAGGACCAGCCCCCAGACGCCCGGGGCTCCTGGCTCCCCCACAAGGCCTGGCTGGGCATAGTCAGCTGTACCCGGGTGAGCACATGCTGTCAGCGTCCGGCAACTGCACCTGAGATGGTCGCCCCACCTACACCACACCTCCAGCCCGTCCCCACATGGTACTCGCACACGGTCCCCGCACACACGGTACCCACACACACACTGTATCTGCGCACTGCAACCATAAGCACACTGTACCCGCACATACACTCTACCCACACACACTGTACCCATACGCACACTATACCCGCACACATACTGTCCCCAACCCGCACACATACTGTCCCTACACACAATCTTTGCACACACACTGTATCTGCAGGCACTTTATCTGCACTCTCTCTGCACACATACTGTACCTGCACAGTCACTATCTCTGTACACACACTGTATTGATACACACTATTTGCACACACTCTCTTTGTACACACATTACCTCTGTACACTTTCTGCACACACACTATATCTGTACACACTCTGCACACTTTCTGCACACAGTATACCTGCACATACACTTTATCTTTACACACTGTCTGCACACACGATCTCTGCACACACACACTGTACCCACACACACTATATCTGCACACACTCTCTGCACACACTTTTTGTACACACACATTGTACCTGCACATATACTATATCTGTACACACACTGTATCTGCACTAACACTATTCTCTGTACACACACTGTATCGACACATGCACTGTATCTGTACACACTATCTGTGCACACACTCTCTTTGCACACACACTGTATCTGCACACACACTATCTCTGTACACACTGTATCTGCACACAATCTCTGCACACACACTGTATCTGCACACGCACTGTATCTACACACACTATCTCTGCACACCCACTGTATCTGCGCACACTCTGCACATATGCTGTATTTGCACACACTACATCTGCACACACTCTCTCTGCACACAAACACTACGTATCTGCACACACACTGTACCCATCCGTGTACACATAGGTTTTCCATCTGTACTCTCACTGTATCCTGTCAGTACCTCTGCTCTATTGCTGGCAGCACACGTATGCCATTGTTTGGCCATGGACCCTGCTCTCTGTACCTGTGCTCTAGTCCACCCTGCTTGGACACGCAAAGAAGCTTCAGCATACACTAACTACAGTGCGTTACACTGTACCCGTACAGTGCATGTACACGTGTACCTACATGGTGGAGGTACCTATGGTGTGTGTATAACCCGTACCTAACTCACTCTAACTACATGGTGTGTATACACTGTACTACAGTCTGTGTATATGCTGTACCTACACAATGTATGGGTATACTGTATCACATCAAAAACAGTCAAAAGGCCACAACGCCCCTGCAGAAGACACCAGGTTCCCCTGACAGCCCGAGCCCAGGGGGGTGGCCCGCCAGTCCTCTGTGGGGCCCTGTGGAGGCACCTTCCCATCCCCCTATGCAGAAGCCAGACCTAAATCTAACCCAGGCCCCCAAGGGTTCAGGCAGCTCCAATGCCGGCATGGCAACACATGGAGAACATCGTGACACCATCCGACAGAGATACTCCAGGCCCCCAGGATGCGGGACACGGGGTCATTAGCACCCAGTCTGCTGGCCACTGCCCAGGCTCTGAGGCTCTGCCAGGATCGAGGGGACCAAAATGCAGCCAGATCCTCTCTCAGCTCAGAGCCAGGCACACAGCGCTGACCTGCCTGCCCTCTCCAGCCCTGCTAGCTGGCCCTCCCCCAGCTCCCACAGTGGCTCTCCCAGCCCTTGGCCCGGACGGAATCCACAGACCCCCGCCAGTGGCCCACCACAGAGCAGTCCCACCTCACTCCCAAGCGGGCTGCTGCGTACCTGGGTGGCCCTGCGAGCTCATGGCAGCATGCGCCCCTCTCCTCGGCAGGAAAGAGCTGGCGATGTGCGGGAGGATGGGGGCTCCTGGGTCCCCCCGGCACATGCGCAGGCGGCAGTGGGGAGGGGCCCTGGCTGACCACTGGACTCCTGCCAGGCAGGCAGCGCCCTGGAGCAGCTCCAGGAGGGCAGAACAGCAGGCTCAGGAGCAGACCTGTGGGGGGAACAGAGACAGAGCAAGTTAGGGGAGCCCCTGAGGACACAACCCCATGGGCCTGGTGCCACTGCCCTGCACCAGCGGCCCCAGGAGACAGACGCACTTGCACTGCACAGCCACCAGGGGGCGCACTTCCACTACATGGGACCCCCTCGGATGCACGTCCACTGCATGGCCACCAGGGGATGCACTTCCACTACACGGCCACCAGGGGACGCACTTCCACTGCACGGGACCCCCGGCCACCAGGGGACGCACTTCCCTTGCACAGGACCCCCTGGGACGCACTTCCACAGCATGGCCACCAGGGGACGCACTGCCACTACATGGGACCCCCTGGGATGCACTTCCACTGCATGGCCACCAGGGGACGCACTGCTACTGCTCGGACAGCAGAATATGCACTTCAACTTCATGGCCACCAGGGGACGCACTTCCATCCTACAGGAGCAAGGGGTGCACGTCCACCGCAAGGACACCGGGGGACGCACACGGGCACCAGGGGCCGCGTGTCCACTGGCCAGAGGCTTGTGGGGTGCCAGGCGAGAATCCCTGTGACACTGTGGGAAATGGTGGTGGCAAGGCGGGGCCTGCAGGGACCTCCCAGCGCCCCTCCCTGCTCTTCCCTGGCCACCCACTGCCACAGTGCCTGCCCCAACCCCGGGGGGCCTGGCCCTGCCTCCCCATCCTCCTCCAGGCTGACCCCATGCCTGCCTGAAGACCGCCAATGTGTGTGCCAGAAGACTCCACCCCCAAAGCCCAGAGGAGCCCCACCCCGGCCCCCCAGGAGGGGCGAGTCAAGCTGTAAGTAGTGCGCTGAGGCCCCCCACAGGAGCAGGGCCACAGGCTGAGGCCCAGGGACGTGCAGGCGGAATGAGCCTCCTGGGATGGAGGCGAGAAACGGAGATGAGGAATGGGGTCGGGGAGCGACAGAGCCGGGCAGGAGCAGAGCAGCAGGAGGAGGGGCCCAGAGGCCAGCACGGGTGGGGGGGGGGCACCCTGGACGGGGCTTTTCCCCCTCAGCCCCAAGGCTGCCAGGAGGGGCTGCCATGTCCCAAGCGCAAGCACCACCCTGGATCGGGCTGCCCCTTCCACGACCCAGGGCCAGAGGGCGGCGCCTTGATGCACCCGCCTGGGGGTCCACGGTCACCCCAAGTCCTCCCGCCTCCCCGGGAGCCCTTCCTGGGCGGGCGTGCATGGCCCCGGCCTCCAGAGGGGCCACCCTGAACGGCAACTCTCAGAGCACCCCAGCAGGCCAGGGAGGTGTCCGGTACCTGGACTTGGCCCAGATCAAGAGCTGCCACCCCCAGCCAAGTGCTCTGCAGACCGACCCCGGCCGGCCACCAGGGGAGCCGGCGTCAGACCAGCTGTTCCAAGGACGCGGCTGCGTGTGTCACATGGCCCCACCGGCCTGCAGGACGGCAATGGCCTTCGGGCACCAGGGCAGTGAGCCCCAAGGAGACCCAGATGCCGCAGCTGTGGCTGTACTGGGAGACATGGACTCCCCCCAGAGGGCAGCCAAACCCTGCTCAGGAGGGAGCACGGGGCGCCACGAACCCGGGCACCTCCCACCCGAGCCGCGCCCGGTACTCCCAGGAGCGGGGCCACTGCACCCAGGGCCCCTGAGGCAAGCGGGCGCCAGGCAGCTGGGAAGGGGCCTCCGGTGGTCTCAGAGACCAGCGAGGCCAGTTTTCACGTGCTGGGAAGTGCGTGCCAGGGGCTCCCGGTGGCAGAGACACACTTCTGGGACCACCACGCCCTGACCACAACCCAAGGGCCAAGGGCCAGTCCATCCCACAGCGTGCCGGGCGGCGCCTCCACGCAGCCGGGAGCAGCCCCGGTCCCCACGCAGCCCGGAGCACCCTGTGCATGGAGGGACACGCCCGGCGAGCGCAGAGGCTCGTGGTACTTTCCCCACAGGAAGCCGGCGCGGTAAGGACGGGCACCCGCAGACCAGCTCCCAAGGGTGCAAAGCCCTGACGTCTCCCAGGCCAGGCAGCAGGTAGGAACCAGCGGGAGGCTGGAGAGAGCGCAGGGGTGAGGCACTGCCTGCACGCAGCCCCCCGGGGGTCAGTCCCCGACACGCCACAGGGACCCCCCCACCCCTACAGCCAGGAGTGGTCCTGAGCGCAGAGCCAGGATGAAGCCCTGAGCACGGCCAGGTGTGGCCCCAAAATCAGAAAGTGAAACAAATCAGCTACGAAGGCTCCTAGGAGACCCAAAATGCCTGGAAACGGAGGAGTTCCAGGAAGAGGGAGCGAGGCCAGGGATGGAGCAGGTGGGGGGACGGGACGGACAGCAGCCAGAGCTGGCCGGGCCACTGTCTCACCCTGAGAAGCTCAAGCAGGACGACGCTGACAGTGATGGACACGGACAGAGTCAGCAGGCAGCAGCTTCCCAGCGTGACACGTGGGGCCGTGGCATCAACCCGAGGGCCGCCAGGAGGGGGGACGCGGGGTGACGGGTGCCAGCACAGCAGGGCCGACAGCTGCAGGGCCACGTGGGAGAAACGGGCACCTTCGAGCACCGGATTGCAGGGACAGCCCCAGGGGCGCCAGGTCACCTCTGCACCGGGCCTGCCCACTGGGACACCGGCTCACCAGGACATGCCCTCCCCAGGGCCCCCGGCCCTCGTGGGTCTGGATCCCATCCTGGCGGGAGGCAGTGGCACCCACGGGAGGGAGTGCCGGAGTGAGGCGCAGAGAGAGGCAGCCGGGCTCAGCTCATCCAGGCAGGACACAGGTGCTGGCCCCGTCTCGGGCAGCGGTGTGGGGACAGGCCCTGTGCTGTCCCTCCCGCCCCCGATCTCCCCATTTCTCGGCTCCACGACGGCTGACGCCCGGGCACCGAGTGCCTGCAGGTGCCAAGGCCACACCCCACGCTCCACCCAGGCCCCTACTGACCTGGCTGTCCAGGCGGAGGCTTGTGAGGACAGGGCCAGCCTGCAGAGTCCCTCCAGGCCTGTGCCCGTGCGGGCAGCGTCTCCTCCACTGCTCACCGTGGGTCTCTGGGGAGACGCGTCCCCCGCACTTCATGCTGTGCCCACGACAAATGGCTGTGAGCGCGACCAGCCCACCGGGACCCCACTCGCGGCGGCTGCTCTGCCGTGGGAAGCGGCACCAGGATCCCCGGGCCCTGCCCCAGGCCCCTGCCCCGCCTGCACCCTGGCCCGCTGCCCTGCTGGGACAGCCACATGCAGTCTGAAGGGCCCAGACCGACACCCCCCACCCCACCCAGCAGCCAGGCGAGCTCAGAGCAGGCCACGGTGGTGCTGCATTCACTCTGCGATGTGGAAGACTCTAGAAATGCAGCAGCGCTGGGGACCCAAGACATCCGTTGCCCGAGAGGCCGTGGGTCGGCCCGGCCGACACAGGGAGCAGAGGTGCCCTTGCACGCCCAGTGCCTGCGCCCTTCCCTGGGGTAGCCCCGAGGCCGCGGGCACAGCCACTCCCTGACCTGGCCAGATCCATGGGGACCGGCTCCAAGGCGGCTCCCTGACCCCAGGCTGCCGTGGCGGGACCCTCCCATACCCCGGGTCTACGTCTGAGCGCCAGAGACGGGGACTTTCAGGAAAGCCTGGTCACAGCCTGACACCGTCACGGGCAGAAGGGCCCAGGCGGGAGCCAGCACTGGCCTGGGGCGGCTCAGGGGGCACTAGCAGGCCCTAGCACTGGCCAGGTAAGGGCAGGGGGTGGACGAAGGACGCTGACCACCCTGCTGAGGTGCCTGGACGAGAACTTCAGGCCGTGCCTCTGAGCAGCCGAGGGCTCAACCCTGAGAAGGGAAGAAGCTTGAAGACCCTCGGGTCAGGCGACGGATGAGCTGCACCTTCACGCCAGCCAGAACGACCACTGGGGAAACCAAGGCAGGAAGCATGGAGGAGGCGGCATGGGCCACTCGGCAGTCACAGGAGCTCTGAGCCAACGATCCCGCAGAGGGGCGGCAGGGAGCTGGACCCACTGCCTGAGAGCCCGCGGGGGGACGGGCAGGAAGCCAGAGAGCCGCACTCGACTCATGCGTGCACAGGCACAGACACACACAGACATACGTGCGTGCACACCGCAGGAGCACGCAGCAGTCACGCTTAGGCACACACAAGCACGCAGCACACACGCACAAGCACACACAAGCACACAGCACACATTTGAAGTGCACACATCACACGAGGACACACATGTGCGCGCACACACGCCAACCCCAGTCCCGCAGATGCGCCTGCGCACACATACACACAGGCACACATCACAGGCGCGCACACGGACACCAACGCCTCGGGCAGCCCAGCACCAGCTCCCTCAGCAGTTTGTGGCAGGATCTGGGACAGTCTGGACCAGCTGAGACAATGCGTGCTGAGTGGACGCGTGTGAGGCTGCGTGCGTGGGGGTGTACACGGAGTGTACGTGTGTGAGGGGACGTGAGCATAGGGGCGTTTCCCAGGGCCCGGCTCAGGGAAGTGGCGTTGCTCCCCGGGACACGGGGCTCCAGACCACTGACCAGCACGGCACCAGGGACACACACTACGAACGAGGGGCGTCCACAGCAGCAACATCTCCCCCGGGACAGCACCCAGAGCCGCCCGCTGAGGGTACCCGGGTCCCGGGGATGTGGCCAGCACTGAGTCCGGGGGTCCTCGCGGCCCCACAGGCAGTGTACACTGGAGGCCAGCACGTGGCAGGCAGGCGCTGGACAGGTCCCCTGGGGCCCAGGCCTGAGCCGGTGTCGGGAAGAGCCCAGGGCCAGTGGGAGGGAGGCCACTGCAGGCCGGGGTCTGAGCTGGGGCAGCTCTGGGGTGTCTGACACCCTGTCCACTCTCACTTCTGCTGTGATAGGGGAAGCAGAGCGTCTGCCTGGGCAGGACACCTGGGCGGCGCGGGGCAGTCGGTGGCTGTTCTGGGGAGCGGCAGCCGAGGGGAAGCACCTATGGCGACACGGCGGCTTCTCACAGCAGGGCCCATCCAGTCAGAGAGCGGAACCCGGGGTGCCCAGCCACGGGCCCA